AAACGCTCACATCCGGGATAGACTAACCTACATGTGTATGGCCATGACCTCAGCATTGTATTTATCAGCTAGACAAATAACATGAATAAGGCCATCATAGCTTCCACTATCAAATTCCGGTATCCTTACGTAGCCAGTACATACAATGTGATTATTCCAATGAGAGAGCTCTTAAAATTACTCTTAAAGGGAATGTACAACATTTGCTATTGCTGCAATTTTCAGAAATAAATGGATTTGGAGGATTAGTATGTTATAGCAAATATTGTTACACTGACTTGTTTCACGTTTTGGGTTCGTAGATGCTGGAAAAATCAAGAAAACCAATCATATTCTTGTAGTCTGGTTCCCTGACGCCACCTAAGATAAACCGGAGCAATTTATAGACTTTGGGGAATTGTAAGATCATGAGGATCAGTCTAGCAGGCTTGTAGTCTTCACAGGTGTGTAATCAATTGCAAAGAAAACGCAGATGAACTAAATATGAAAAATTAGGGGCACTTTTTGAAAAAAAAAGCCAGTTTTTTCCAACGCTGGTCGGCCGACCAGCGTTGGAAAAATACACTTTTTCTTGAAAATGTCGGCACACCAGGAGCCACAACTTTACAGGATGCTTTAGACTGTCATTCCCTTTGTGATAATTTGATCATTTCGTTTTGTGATGTTTGCAAATGTTGCATCTTCCCTTTAACCCTAACCCCCTAGGCCCTTGTTGCTTACAACCATCCTCAATCCTCCAAAATCCTCCAAAATTTTGCAACTCCGTCTAAATTTTTCAAAATTGTCAGACAGTCCTGCCTCAAAATGCATTCATCCTCAATCCTTCAAAATCCTCCTCATCCCAAAATTTTGCACTCGTGTTTAAATGAAGGATAAACAAACACCAAATCCTTCAAAATCATCAGACAGTCCTGCCTCAAAATGCATTCATCCTCAATCCTCCAAAATCCTCTTGTGCTTCAATCACCATTCATCCTCAATCCTCCAAAATCCTCATGTGCTTCAATCACCATTCATCCTCAATCCTCCAGAATCCTCATTTGATTCAATCACCATTCATCCTCAATCCTCTAGAATCCTCCAAAACCGCCAGGAGGATTTTGGAGGAGTGAGGTGGGTTAGGGTTAACCCTAACCCTGCTAAATGCAACAGAATGCACCAGTGGTAAAAAGTTGTTGCAAGTTGTTGCATTTAGCAGTCTCCTGATCTGACATGTCTCCTGCATTCCATTGCATTTAGCAGAATACATGTAGGTACCCGTACTTGGTACCAAGGCTGGCATGTACATAGTTCGCTGCATTCTGTTGTATTTGGCAGGGTGCCTAGAGAATACTACGTAGCCTTCAGTCAAGTCCCACGTGCCTATACCCGGACCATCCGGACACGTAAAGCACCCCGGATGCTGGCACGTAAAATTACTACATGTAGCACGAGCGGCGAAGCCGCGAGGGCCTTTACTATCTCGTGGAACTAATCACTTATTCATTTATTCACGTAATATAAATCAAGCAATATAAACCAACCATCTAACGGTGGTTTGCGGTTACCGGCGACAGCACCCGCGCCGTGGCGCGCATGCTGTCTGGCGCCAGACGACGGCTGATTTACATTAGTAATTCAGCATTTTCATTGGTCAATTCACAACGGGTAATGCATTATGCATATCTACCGAATCGGTAGACAATGTAAAGAAAAACATAAGCGTTCTCCACGAGATGGTAAAGGCCCTCGCGGTTTCGCCCTTCGTGCTAGTCTTTTTAAGTGTCAGCATCCGGGTGCGTCACGTGTCCGGGTAAGCGCGTGGGACTTGACTAAAGGCTAAGAGAATACCAGTACATTGTAATTTAAATGCTTTTTCTCCCGGATAGTAAATCGAACGTCATTCACCACCATCACTTTGAATTGTGCAAAAAAGGTCAACGGTGCCAGTTGTAACAAAGTTCAATTCCAAAAACCCAGTCAAGTGCAAAAAAAATTTGATTGTGAATCCAACAAGCGTTTCCACAGAACACTGAACAATGTGCATGTACAAGTCATACTTGATTTGCAAAGCGATGGGCTTCTGAAGAACACACATACGCACATGTGCGTGCTAACCAGGTAACAAGAACGCTGAATATAATGGAATGAACTTTCAACCATAAACACAACGAGACAATAATATCTTGATCAAAATCACCACTTAATCTATCACTATCACAAACGTGTCACAGTTACGTATGAACCGTACATTCAGATGCATACACAAAGTAATGTGCGTACATTACTTTGTGTACGACTTCAGTGCCAACACCTTGACGTACTGTACATGTACCGGTACATGAAACATAACATGATTCTGACTCACTAAGATACATGTACTTGACCCACTAATCATACTTGACCCACTAATCATACTTGACCCACTAATCATAACTCTCTTCCAAAGACCACCTGCTGGTTGGAAACAAATTGACACCCACCTCACTCCTCCAAAATCCTCCTGGCGGTTTTGGAGGATTCTAGAGGATTGAGGATGAATGGTGATTGAAGCACATGAGGATTTTGGAGGATTGAGGATGAATGGTGATTGAAGCACAAGAGGATTTTGGAGGATTGAGGATGAATGTATTTTGAGGCAGGACTGTCTGATGATTTTGAAGGATTTGGCGTTGGTTATCCTTCATTTAAACACGAGTGCAAAATTTTGGGATGAGGAGGATTTTGGAGGATTGACGATGAATGCATTTTGAGGTACCGGTAGGACTGTCTGACAATTTTGAAAAATTTAGGCGGAGTTGCAAAATTTTGGAGGATTTTGGAGGATTGAGGATGGTTCTAAGCAAAAAGGGCCTAGGGGGTTGGGGTTACTCTATAATAACTAAAAACCAAGACTTGTACATTATTACAGTTCAAAATCTATATGAATGCAGATGTGTAACGGATTTTCTTTCCGAATTCGCATAAAATTTGGAGTACTTATGTACACCCAAATTGAGCCCTACTAAGGACCAAGATTTAGGGGCCCTACCCCTGTACAAAAACCAAAATTGACTGGCACTCTAACTAATGTGAGTGTGAACAGTAGGCCTTGTACTTGTATGTAATTCTGCCATGTTGTTTTTGAGGAGGGAGACGTGCATGTACTTTTATACAAGACACTGCTACAGTCCTTCGCATAGTGCAAGTCATACTCTTGTGAGAAGAAATTAATTCACCTTTTTACAATCAAATTTAAATACTGCAAGTTTGGGGACCAAATTTAAGTGTTACTTGATCTATGGAAGGCTAGGCCACTGAGAATGTATGAAAAGAAAAATTTGAGGATTCTTTCGTGGGTTGGATCTAAGACGGATCAGCAAGGCATGCTGTTGGCGGTAATTGTTGTTTTTCTTCCTTGGTAGAGCCTCTCAACCTGAAGGGCCTTTCACACTAGCAACAATCTTTTCTGTTGGACCCAGGTCCAAAGCCGAGATTTTGAGAACTCCTTTCACACTAGCAAGAATCCAACACGGCTTCCAACATTTGATAGGCGCATAATGCCCAATACGCGCTGGCAGCGTGACGTGCAGGTCAACATGTTTGCCGCTGTCATTGGCTGCCATCAGTCACTGGCACGACGCGCTACCAGCACGGCGTCTGTTGCGTGGCTCCTTGGTGTATAGTGCGCCCTCATTGCTCAAAACCCTGCCCTATATCTATGACATACCTGTTTGTGCTTAATGTCGCCAACAAATCAAATAAATTAAAAGTGGATATTGTTCTTATTCTTTATAGGGAACGGGGCCTCACCCTACACGAACGCCACAAGTCAAATAATGTTCAGCACACCCAACCCCTTCACCCCGGTTCATCCCGACTGACTTTTTTTTTTATAACCCTAACCCCTTGAGCAATTTTACCAGAAAGTATCCTGAATCCGCCAAAATCCACCTATTGTGTCATGCACAAACATTTTGGTGTTGGTGACTGCTCAATATGGAGGTATCCTGAAAGACCTGAATCCATTCAAATCCTGCAGTATCGCTAGGCTTACAATTAATCCTGAATCCATCAAAATCCCCATTTTCAATATGGAGGTACATGTATCTTGAATCCGCCGAAATACTCCAAAACGGGATTGTGGATTTTGATGGATTCAGGTACGTTAGGGTTAATACACATGAAGGGTGATGAAGATTTTGATGAATTAATGAAGGGTGCAAAATTCGGAAAGAATGTTGCATCCTGACACCACTTCAGTGGTTGTGTACAAAGTCTACGGAGAGTCAGGAATTTTTTTAAAATTTATTTACAAAATTGGCAATGTTTCTCAGTCCCAGATTCATGTCTTACAATAATTTTTACAATGACTGACCTTCCTTGAGATGATATACATGCATGAAGAAAAAAGTGGTTTCAGGTTGCAACATTCTTCCTTTTTTTCAAAAGGGAAATAAAGTCCGGAATTGTAAATAGGCCTAGCCTAGTCTGATTCCATCTCCATTATCTTGTGAATACGAAGGTACTGACAAAGATAATGTTGGCACGGAACCAGACTAAGGTTTGTCACGGTAAAAAAATTTTGAAGTCACAAAAAAATAGTCACTACGCATGTTCAGTGCCATGCCGGCTAAATATTGTAGTAATAAAAGAAAGCCGGCGCGGGCCAAATATCCACTGCAGTACCATTTAACCTTCCAAACAATTGAAATTAACTCGATAGGCCCCCTAATCTAAGCAAAGGCCCAAGTAGTTTTAAAGTTAGTGGACGTACAAAACTGATCTTGGACATGTTGTACTAGCTTGAGTAACTCCAGCTCTAATGCTTATCGCATTACATGAGTTACTCTAGGCTAGACATGTTGGACATGTTGGACTTGGTCGATAAGCGAAAAAGCTTGCCATGATTTTGAATTAGACCCCTATATACTTCTAAGTTCTACAATTTGAAAAATAACTAAGTAAACTAACGTTATAAACCTATTACAAAAGATACGTGATTATATTCTGTACACGTACACAATACAAATCATATTCACCTTGAACACACACATCGTGAGTAGATAACGAAGCATCGTCCACGTGATGGCCAAAATCACAACCAGAAACAGATCGCTCCATTTTGCTTCACAGTACGTCCGCACTTCACCGAGAAATCCGTCTGGATGAATCGGCTCTGTGCGATAATACTCCGGCATCTCTGTCAAAAATGTCTTCACTAACCCGTAATAGTCCGGGTAGAAAAAGAGGTCGGTGATACCCATGTTTTTGCTGTGGGATTTGGGGTTCAAAATGAGTAGAAAAATATTCGGTGTGTCAATGCGAGAACCATGTGCAAAAACAAACGCGCGATGTGCACATGGGATATTGGGTAAACCCAGTCCATGCAGTCACGTCACGAAAGTGAGGCGTGACCCTACTTACGCTTGGTAACGACAGTATTGCCAGTAATCGATACTATTGATACTGCAGAGTCGATACTACCAGCCCCAAGATCCGTGGACCGTTTCTGTAGACATTTTCGTATAAGTTACATCTTTGTGACGTTCAGCCTACGATTTAAATTTGATAAACAAAATAACAGAAAAACAATCGAGCCCGCAATGCAGTTTTGAAAGTAAAATATTACAGGAAGAAATTCTTCTTCACGAAAATGGAATCGATTTGTTGTTGCTCGATACTATCCAGTATTCGGTTCACGTTTCGTGTAGCGTGATGAGTAATCGGAAAACAAAACAACGAACCATTCACCAACGCAGTGTTTACATCACAACCTCGACGCCATATCCCGCTAGCTGTCGACAGATGAACGAGCGAAGGCGTCAGTTAAGGACTGCACCCTGGGTACGAGTGGCAAGAGGAGTGGTCCATGTGTGATGGTCTGATCATTGTTGGTAAACTTCAACAAGTCCACCGCTATAAATAAAGTTCCCACCAGAGATATTCCAACTTGTTCACCAATCATCCGAATAGAAGAGCTGTAGAGAAACTGGTGATTAGTGTCAGTGAAAATCGCAAATTTATAATGGAACGAATAAACGAATGCATTAAATTTTGAATGGATTTTCTTTTTGAGAACCTTTAGTAGGAGGGCGCTATTTATCCATGTCGTGTCACGTCTTTTATGTGTCGATTTCTTATCCGCAAATTAATTATGGCCTAGAGTGATGTTCTAAGCTTAGGTCTATTATTATCTATTGACCGCAATGATAAAATTTCAAAAAAATTGGGGTTTTTTTCAGTAACTGAAAATCCTTCAGTTTAAAAAAAAAAAAATCATGGTTGGTACCACCGACGTCATCTTTCTTTCTTACCCTCCTAAGGACAACCGCCCATACACAAAATCTACATAAAAGCGGAATTATTCATCGAGAAACGGACCTATATCTCGGTGTCAAAGACCTAGCTCGGGCCGCCGCTCCCTCCATCTTAAATTGGCAATTTCACGGAACTCAGAAGGCTCGGCGCAAAAGTACTCACCAAATGAGATCAGATTCAGAGGCGTAGCAAGGTTCCCTTTTTTTGGGGGGGGGGGTTAAAAAGTTTGTGAAAGGGTACTCGCACATCCGTGTTGAAATGTAGACACTTGGCCTCCGTAAAATCAAAGAGGGGAGGGGGCGGGGGGGGGGGGGGGGTGGAGCGGGCAAGTTCCATCTTCCAATGAGGGCGCTGTTCCAACCGGACGATCATGTACACGTCATCGGGCGCTTTCAATTTCAGGGCTGCACAATAATTTGCCGACGGTCGCACGAACTTCCAAAAGGCCACTCGTTATTTAAGCCGCTGGTAAAAAAGGCACTTGTTCAAAAAAAACCCCGAACAAGAGGCACTTTTAAATATATGGGGGGGGGGGGGGGGTTAAACGCTGGTGAAAAAGGACACCGTACAATTTTTTTTTGAGGGGGGGATAAATACTACCATTAACCCCCCCCCCCCCCCCCCCCCCGCTGGCTACGCGTCTGAAAACAATTGGGAGCCTAATTAAGGAGTAAGCCAACTGCCGTTTCAGCAGCAGGTCGTACATATAGCGCGGTTGAAGGGGAAGGGATGGGTTGGGGGGGGGGGGCTGGGGTGTTCCGTGCGATGATCTGGGCCGGTCATAGTGTAAGAATATTCTCTTCTGTTTTTTATATTTAGTTTGAATTCAAAATAGGTCGAGTCTATGAGCCCAATTCACAGTATTCGATTTCTTTATTTCTCTCCGTTCCTTCAGTCTATCTTCTTCTTTTTGCCATCTCCGTGTGCTATTTTCGAGTTTCACGCCGCAATTATTATTATTTTTTTGTAAACTGCAAAACCTTCCGCCAGCGTTTACTTATGGCATAAATTACTTCACAAATTGCGAATTCCTTGCGGCCCGACGACAATAATTCGGGCGGCGGCGGGGTTTGGGGCGTATAGTGGCGCAAAACTCGACAGTTGTTTCCCCAAAATTTGCCCTTTCAAAATTCTCCTGGGTAAATCATTCCAAACAATGAAACAAAGATGGCGTGTAGCAAATTCCCAAGATTTTGCAATAATGCCAAGGAAAATCTCGAAATAGTGAATTAAAATAATGAAACTCCCCCAAAATTTCCACGACTTATCCACACAAAGTCACAGGACTTGAAGACGGGGAAAAGTTGAATGTGTGTTGTTTTGTCAAGTTTTTAAAGTTTATTTTGTGTGGTATAGACCACAAGGGAATAGTGTTTACTAATTTCTGTTACTCGATCATGGTCAGAAAGTCGGGGATTGAATCCAACTGCTAGCCATTATGCAGTGTCCGTTGGCAAGCCACTTCACTCTCACTTGCCTCTCTTCGAGTCACCCAGAAGAACAAGCGGGTACCAGCATCAAACATCAACTACACGTTATAAATAAAAACACCAACTGCAAGGTCGAAAATTAAAACAATAAAATATTAGAAGATTTATTAGGAATTGGTAGTTGGTGTTTTTATTTAGAACGTGTGGTTTGTGGTTTTTATATTTTCCAAACAGGTTGCAACATTCGTGGACAAAAAAATAATTACCGATTTTCTCTTCCCTTAAACAATCAACTCTAGTAGCCCGGTAATTGCGGAAGACAGTAAGACTCCATCTCCGTAGAAAAAAAGGATAAGAAAAATTGAAGCAGATTGCTCGTGGTCTCCTTCCCGACATGACTACCATGGGTAGTTGTGATTCTTTAAGCGCTGACCACCAAATATTTGACCGAGTGGTATCGTCTTCCATCACGATTACCCAAACTGTTTTGAGTCTCAGGATGCTTTCAGTTTCAAGGTCATAATTTTATACAGCGCACATCCCAGCCGCACTGCTCAGGTGTGTTTTCGAAAATTCTTGCTACTAGTAAGTTGATCTAAGAAGCCTCGAAAGGAATCGATATGATACATGTACTCAAAGATGAGAACCAGGTCTAGGAACTAGGGACTGCTGAAAACATGGGCCGGACCTTTGGAAAGAAATGTTAGCTCGAGGACGTAGAGGAACCAGCGCCCGAGATTCAGGTGACAACACTAACCTCCAAGGACAGTTTAGCCTTACAGCCCAAGCAGTGGAGTAGCCAGGAATTTTTCAGGGGGGGGGGGGGGGGGTGGAGGGGGGGGGCTGGAACATTTCATTGGGGGGGGGGGCGTCAAGCAGGGGCGTCAATCGCTTCTCAAAAGTGGGGGGGGGACATACCTTGATCATAACTGATGCAAGCGCGAAGCGCGAAGCGCGAAGCGCGAAGCCCTTACGGCGTGGGGTTCGGGGCCCGCTTAAGGGCCCCGGAAAAAAATGGATTCCAGATGTTCTGTGGTGCGATTTGAAGCAATTTCTTACGACTTTCCTCCATGCTTTTACTAATATTTTCTTGGCAAAAGATAATTATTTAAACATCGTTTTCGAGGTTGGAGACATTGAATCAGCTATCGGTATTCTGAGCTATTGGCGTGGATTTTCGATGCTCTGTGGTGTGATCTGAGGCAATTTCTTACCACTTTAACCAATAATTATAGCACAAAAGATAATAATTTAAACATAATTTTCGAGGTTTTCTCAGCTAAAGGCATAAGAAAATTTTGTGAACATTGTTTTCGAGGTTGGAGTCATTGAATCAGCTACCAGAATTCTGAGCTATAGGCGTGGGGTTCGGGGCCCGCTTAAGGGCCCCGAAAAATGTTGGATTCTAAATGCTCTGTGGTGCTATCTGAGGCAATTTCTGACCACTTTAACCAATATTTTCTAAGCAAACGATACATTGTAGTACATAATAGGGCCCTTGGCGTCATGTAGATCAATGATATTTTTTTTAGAAACTCAAAATCTCAGTGGGGGGGGGGGGGGGGGGGACGGGGGGGGGGCGACAAGGTTTCATGGGGGGGGGGGGGCGGTCGCCCCCCACACGCCCCCCCCCCCCGGTGGCTACGCCACTGAGCCCAACGATATCAAAATCCTAAATTCACAGCCTGACAAAGCTGTGTATATACTGGCCCTGATGAAGTTCTCAATCGAGTTCTGAAGAAATGTAGCGTTGAACTAGCCAGACTACCGCCTTTTGAGGTCTGCTTCTTACACGGAGTATATCCACACCAGTGGAAAACTGCATCGGTAATTCCAGTACAAAGGAGGTAATCGAAATCTAATCCATCATTGTACTGTCCCATCATCAGGAACATCAGCAAGGTTATGGAGGCGGTTGTACAGAGTCAACTTCAGAAGAACCTACTGAAGAACCATCTTCTATCAGTCCGGCAGTTTGAATTTAGACCCCATCATAGCACAGCTTACATCCTTGCCATTCTTTCTCAGCAGTGGTCCAATGCACTGGGCAGTGGCAACGACGTGCGTCTATAACCTTGGACATCAAAGGTGTGCAAAGTGTGGCACAACGGCCTCTGCTTAAAGCTCAAAGGAAAAAGAGTCGCTGGCAAGTGGCAAGTTGCTTACATGGAGCGAGAGCTATTTATCAAACCGGCCCATCAAAGTGGTTCTATCCGGCCAGTACTCAAGTACAACCTCCATAATGCGTCTGTACCTCAGGGCTCACTGGGCCCACTTCTTTCTCTGTCTTTATAGATGATCTGCCAGATGAGAGCGAGAACACACTGTACCTGTACGCAGATGATTCCACCCTCTACTGCGAGATTAGATCAGGTGTGACCCAAAGGACGTAAGCTAGAATAGGGACCTGGACAGAATGAGGATCTGGGCAAGACAGATGGAAAGCGACCTTCGAGTGCAAGGCTCTTACAATTTCTAGAAAGAGGAACCATACATGTACCTAACTAGGCTATCTATCTTTTCTTGGGAACACCAGACTAGTTGATGAAGAAAGACGAGCTGGAATTCTTGGGTGTCACAGTTGATAAGAGATTTCCAAACTTTCTGCTAGAGCTGGACAAAAGCTATATAGGAACTTTAAGGGGGTTGCAAACATGCTGGATGCAAGAGATAAAGCGACTGTCTGCAAGGCACAGATTCACAGTGTTATGTAGTACGCATTTCAGTGCTGGGTGAGTGCTTAGTACCATTTCACTTGGAAATCATCGGTGTGGACAAACAGGAGGCAAGAGCGAACCTCAACATCCCATCTCTTCATCATAGGCGTCAAGTCGCTGCCACAACAGTTCTCTATACAAGATGCAACAGTTCTCTGCAAGCCGGGCACTCTCTGAGCCAGTCTCCAGGACCTACTCCACCAGCAGACCTTCATCCACACTATACAGTCCCCGTCTGGAACAGTATCATAGATTGTGTAGTTGGAGAGTTCAAAGACAATGGTGCTCCGACCTTCAGAAGTAGGGTGCGTCGATATCTCCTGTCAACACATTGATGTGAGGCAAGCTCCATGTTACCTTTCTAAGATGCTGTGAACCACTGATTGGCCCACGGAGACTTCATTTATAGTGCACTGTTGCCTATATCTACACATGACCATGGTTACACTCCACGAGCTATTGTTCACCTTACCATTTTACATAAAACAACCGCAAGTGCACAATAAGCTCTAGCCGTGTTGCAAGAAGTCTTGCATGAAACTCTTGCATGAAATCGACGCCGATGGCACATATCGAACACCATACTGTTGGTCAATTTTCGGTAGACCGATCGGCCGACCACCATAAAAATGGGTCTTATATTTCAAATACATCATTTACCCGTCTTTAAAATAAATTCATAATAATTAGCGCCTTGAGTTCCTAATTGTTGGTAGATACGTGCGTTATAAGACTCCGGTATTATTATAGTTAAGTGACAATCATGTAGAAGCTCCTGCCAGAGCTAAACACCCCGAAAAAACCCCAAGCCCATTAAATCACGTTAAATGTCAAAACTTTTAAGATTATCAAAATGACAGTGAAAAAGTATAAGTAGGTTGGAATATACCTTTAAAATATAAATGCATGCGCAGAACCCTCTGAGATTTTTTTTGGAAGGGGGGGGGGTGTGTTAAATAAAATTTCGTCCAAGGTTCTGGGAGGTTAAGACACACGTGACTCAAATCAACGCATTCAAACACAGCAGCACTTTTTTTATAGCAAGCTCATCACTTTATTAAAATAGACAATAGAATTCAGATAAAACACTACTGTTCGTCCCCAAGATACAGTATATTTCATACCATTACAAAGAAGGCAAAATGGCCTCGAGTACTCAACTGATACATACCATACTGGCCCAAGGTCTCAAGTTATACACTTTCCCCACCATAAAGACAATTCACTGCTTCAGTTTTGGTTTTGTAAGTTTTTTTTTCAAATGAGCTTCATAAATTTTCCTGAAAACTTAACTTTCAATTTTGCACTACACCCAAGTTCTCAACTATCACGTTTACCGAGCTAAAGCTTTTTTTTTTTTTTTAAATACATCTACATGTAGCTTTTTAAAAGTTTTGGTCGTCAGTCTCAATCGAAAAACAAAATGGAAAAATAAAACTAACGAAAATGAAAATGAAAACAAAAGAGGATTTTCTTGAAACAATTTTATACATCCGTATTACAAATAGTTTGCATCAATAATTTAAGCTCTGAAAAAAGTCACTTTATCCCATCAATAGGATTTTTCTGTTCAATGCATCAATTTTCATTCTTTTAGTTTTCAATAAATACAGGCAATAACCAAAGCTATTACTAAGACAAACCAAAAAGGCCAAAATTTCTTTTTCTTTACATTAATGACTCATACTTCATAAATTTAAACAAGTTGACATAAGTATATACAAATCTTCCTTTCAAACAAATACATGAAATATTACATTTTGTAATATTTCCTTAAATATTTTACAGCAGTTAGAATTGTCCCTGCTACTGATTTTTAATTTTTTTTTTTAAATATTGTTTTTTCCTTTCCCTACATCGCACCTACATTCTATGACTTCTAAAAATGTTTTCTATTTCAAAATAGTTTAAGGCATCTTGAACCACACTATCTGCCTGACAATAATATTCCACAATTTTGAAACCCCTCTATCCGTAGCCTAATGATGATTTTTTTCCATTCATAAATTTTGACTTGCACAAAAATGTTTAAAACGAAAGAAGGAAATAAAACGTAAACCTTTGCACCAAGTAAACTTTTTGAAAGAAACATCTTTGGTTGAAATATTCACAAAATGAATACTTAGCCTTCATACTTAGCTTATTTTTGTACCACTACTGTGGCAAAAAAAAAAAAAAAAAAAAAATTAATGGTATTCTAACTATTTTTAAATTCACAGAGAAATCTAAAGCACTCTTAAACATAATTCTTATTTTGACTTCCTATCAGCCATATTACAAAACAATATAACAAAAAAACTTAAAGTAAACAAATTATTTAACTGATTTCCATGACACTAATTTCAAACTTAACCACTCTATTTTATATGGATGTAGGGACCAAACCATCACATAATGCACTTCAAGGAAAAACTATTCAGCATATTTTGGGGAGAACAAAAGTCACAAAGACTGACATCTATTTTGATTATAACAATGATGAAAACCATAACCAATTTATCCAGATACCTTATTTCATGAGACATCAATAACACAAAATGCCATTTTGTTTGCAAAATTAAATCGCAAAAAAAAAGAATACTTACTGATCGAATTGTCCAAATAATCAACTTTACATTATTATAGGAATACATGCCCTCATATAAACTAAAAGCTTATTTAAATGATGTTGTAACAAAATATTTTTGGATGCTTCTTGTGAAGCATAATCTTGCCAAAGCAGTTGTACATTGCACATGTGGCAAATGAGGAGACTCGTCACAAATGCATATCATGGCCACGCAACGAAGTTGAACAAACTAATATTTTTTTTTAAACCAATCTCAGCCTGTTTTTACAGATCCTTAATAAAAAGCAATTGACTGAGACAAAAAAATATCACTGAAAAAAATGAAGACATCAGCCGAGCAAAATTACATATAGCAATCTCTAAATAGCCAAATTATAATAGACAAATATGATTACATATTATAGAATAGAAGAGTAAATGATTAAGATCCCAATGGGTTAAATATAATCTCTTCAATTTACAGAGCATTGACGAGCCAACATCGACAACATAAATAAATGAAGTTCAACTAATCTTTTCTGGTTTGCTCAGTGCCTCACTAACATTGGGGTGACAGGACACAAAATGGCTACAAATGCATTTAACGCACAGTCATTCAACACACTGTGAATGCAAGATCAAATCTTTGCTCATGGGGACCATGTTGTGTCCAGAAATTCTCCAGAGAAAGTATAACAAATTTGGCGTGTATGCGCCTATCAATTATTTCCCCGTCCCTCGCCCCGGGCTGCCCCACCCAAGACGTGGCGATTGTCACTTTTGAAGTGACAAAATCCCAACCCCTGGAGCAACATTTAGGTGACAATGTGGACATACATGGATGGGGCTCACTAAACCGATTGCCTGTCCATCTAGTGTGGCAATGGTAAAGATGTTTTGTGAGTGACCAAAATCCCCACCCATGGGGCTTGAAAAACGTGACCAAACCTCAACATAACACATGGGGCAGCAAGAAGGGGGAGGGGGGGGGGGACAATTGGTAGGTTCATAAGAGCTTGGCATGTGCTGTCTACATTCTGAGCAATTGATACTGAGCAAGTTATTTTCTCTTTCAAACAAAACTTTTTGGTATACATGAAATAAACTCAATTAGCATAATTTCAAAGCACACGACAAATATATGCAAACAATACATATAACAATTTATCTCAAAATATATACCGAGTACAGAGTGCAAACTTAGGTATAATTTGACTGAAAATTGAACACGACCGTTCCCTTATTTTCCAGGCAGACTAAAACAAATTGGACTGGAGCATACTGTACGTTTACAAAATTGTGCGCGAATAACAACATCACTTCTACACTGAATTTAGCACTAACAGTTACATTTCACCAAAAGGGTACAATTCTCGGGACACATTTAGGGCTATCTGGCTTGGGTCAAAAGCGACCCCATAGACAGACAGCTCAAAAAGAAGTTATTCACACACCATGTTTATTTATATTCAGCCTTTTTCCCCTTCTTTTTTTGTGTGAGACCCAATAATATGGGATTTACTTGAGGAACCCTTCAAGAAAGGAGAAAACCCAGCCAGGAGAACTGACTGGTTTATTAGAAAGACTTGGATTGAGATAAGATACCAGTCACAAAAAAAAAGTTTTAAAGCGAAGAAAACATTTTTTTTCTCAATGAACTTTACACCAGGATTCACTTAACAAAAATATTAAATAAATAAATGACTGCATGAAATAATTTTGATTTTTCTGACTCAATTATCAATAAAAGAAGTAATAAACTTATTTTAAAATAATCTTTTTTTGTGTGTGAAAATCTGAAAATATGGACGAAAAAAACTTATGAGGCAATTGCAGGGAAAACATAAATTTGTATAGCTTACACGGTCCATTTGTGGAGTTAATATTTAATTTTTTTTTATATATAAGGCAAACTTTGTACTACCACACAACACACAACAGTTTGGTTGCACTCTACTTGTTTATGTAAAACGACAACTATAGAACATATTCTTAATTCTTTCTGTTGTATAAATGTTGGTTTTTTCGTCACACACTTTGATACCTTAACAAAGAATACCCTGATTTGGTTTGCTTAATTAAAATGAGCATGAATAAATTAAATGAGCTGACCACTGACACTCACTCTGACAATAACATTCCCAAATCTCTTTAAAACACAAGCATCGTGATTGGCTCCTTAAAGGCGGACTGGCTTTATGAAACGTCACCGCTGATTGGTCACACCTCCCTTGCTCATTCGACCTGACCAATCACACCTGGTTTCCCATGAATGATCGAGCTAGCTAAACAGATTATGGAATTTTCTGAAGGCAGAAATTTTTCATAATTTCGCAGTAAATATGATACACCAGTGAGCGCTTATTTCGGCGAAAAAGGCCCCACATTCTATCCAGAAGAAAAGTCTCATTGGGGTAAAAAGTCATTTCATAAATGTCTGATCAAAGAAAGAACGTGAAAAGTCCAAGCCAAAATATGGCTCTAAAGCACTGGATTTCTTTAGTTGAAAGACACTTTTTGTTTAAATCTCCCAAGACAGAGTTCCTACCTGAGATGAGGACATTTATCCAATTTTATCAAGTTTCCGTAACAATCTCCAGACTCTGTCCGCAACCCCAGTAGAAAAATTCGAGCAAAATACACAAATAACATTAAAAGTAACCCCCTCCCGTCCAAAGTCTTAACTGAAAAATCTGATCTCATATTCAACACCACGACAAATTCCATCATACTGGAGTTTTAATTCAATTAATATTACCACACAATTGTTCCTTCAATCAAACTGTCATATCTTGACCTTTTTTTCAAAAACAACGATGCTTATGCAAAACCCTGGATGTCCATATGGATGTTTCCAAAAAAAAGAGCAATGTGTCATGTAAAACATTTCAAGGCTGACCTGGTGCAAGGCATTCACTTAAGAAATTATAATTTTTTCGTAAATGTTTTAATTTTCCCCATGACAGAGGCAACCAGATATACAGGCTGACAGGCGCCAACAGTCAAACACTGAAACATTGCATAGTTCTGCTGAAACTTGATAACAATGTCAAGTCTTGGGGATCAAAATGTTATCCATGCACATTGACTTTACGTTGGAACCAATGGTCACAGTTTTCTGATCATATGCACATAACCACTGTTGTTTTAGAAAAAAAAAAAGCTGGACAATTCCATTTCACCACCATATAATAAAAATATGCAAAACATCCACAAAAAAATATCCTTGTTTACTTCAAATCAAATCAGAAAAATCTTCCCTCGCAAATCCCTGTATAGTGTCTGTATCCAGTACAGTTTCCATATATTCCACGACAGCACTGTGTTACCTGAAGGACCTAGGTAGCGCTAAGATTGTAAACAGCTCCTGGGTCTGTCCTGCAGCTCCCTGGGCAGGCTTACAGCACAGTCTGGGGTGGCAGTACTGGCGAGATCCTTGGGATGATTTCCAGACGCTTTGGCTGTTGGTTTAGAAATAACAGACAGGAAAAGAATATAGATTTAGAAGAAAAACAATGTAAGAATGTGAATAATGTACAATTGATCCAGATTACTACAGAGTGAAAATGGGTCTATGTCGATATATAAATCAAATTACTGAGTCTTGTTTTTTCTTCTTTTTCTGCATTTTGGTGTGAAGATTATGTGTTTAAAAAAAGTAAAAAAAAATACAATTTACCCAAATTTGGAGAAGAGAGATTATTTTGATCTTGTAGATCATCAACTCCCCCCCCCCCCCCACCTACCACAATAATATAAACCACCGTAATAATTTAGTCTTTATCCCTAAAATCACAAGTCCATTGACATCAGACTTTTTTCAAACCTTTTGATTTTAGCATCAATTCCAAGATTTTTGAGTAATTTTTTTTCTTGGTCACAAGAACAATATTTCCAGGCCATGAATAAATACTGGTTGCACACTAATGTTGTTTATCATTAGTAAAACAAATGTCTGAGTTTAGTATACCCGTTAGTTTACCCAACACTTCCCTGTAGCTTGTTAAAAACCAGAAAGAGTTAGAGGAGGAAAGTGTTACTGGCTTTACATCTTAACCCTCAACCCCTTGAGTGGTTTACTAGGAACCTTCCTCACTCTTGCAAAATCCAACTCCATAATGGTAGATTCAACACCCAAACTCTTGGACTCTTGATTATGGTGGTATGCCTGACCCCATGTCAAGCATAATCAGTTCACCAGTGCAGTACTCACTCCAACAGATTCCAACAAAACATGCAGTTGGATTTTGAAGGGTTGGGTGTGGTTAGGGTAAAAGCCTGTTTGTTCTTTTAACACTGTCAGTGATTTTATGATCTTTCAAACAAAAATGAGAGGGTATGATGATACTTTTAGATGATACAAAAAGTATTGGCTGCAGGATCACATTTGTAAACTGAATGCAAGACCCATTACAATGTTGCCGTAAAAAAATAAAATGATGATACAGTCAATTACAAAATCTGTTCTCCCGTTATGGAACAATCCTACTGCATGTGTAACCGCCTCCCAAAAAATGAGTCAACAAAAATACAACTTTGGAATAAACAATATCCAAGTAGAACAATCTTAAAAATGAATCATGTGTGGCACTTACATGTTATTACAGAATGTAACCATGCATTATGCTATGTTTCAAATGACCATCTAAAATGGTACTGATATGCAGCTTTCACATCATGCAGTGGGAATAAAAAGTAGCCAATAGAGTGATGGCGGAAGTAACGTTATGAGACTACTACTGACAATTATTAGACAAATGCAGAATGTGTTAAAGAATACTGAAGCATTAGCAGATCCCTTTAAACGTCACCATGCTATCAACGTACATACGGTACATTATCTACATACAACCAGACATTCTAATGTTATGTAAATGAGGGTGCATTTAACAAACTTGGTAATAAAATGTGTTAATGTTTTGCAGAGGAGCTTGTTCTGGAAAGCGTTGCAGAGAAGCGATGTGATGCTTGGAATATTCCAACGGCCAAAAAACTGCATTATCAACTCTTTTCAACTAGGTCTATTTCTAAGACTCTCTGCAAAGTTGGGTTATCAATGTAGTCTTCTTATTCTGTGTTGAAGACCTTCCACCGGGGAGGTGCTGGAAGGGAAAGTACGTTATGAAGGCAACGCCGCGGCTCAGCAACAATCGCCCAAGTGTGCACCAACGAAGCGGGTGAGTCATCAGCACTGTCTACTACGCATGTGAATTGCTTGAATGTACCAGTGATATAGTAATTAACAGAATGATTACCGATATTAATGAACACACTACAGTGCTAGTAGGGTAGGGAATTGATAACCAAAGCAAGATATTAACACTCTTGAACTCTACGATCTACCACTAATAAGCATCAACGTTGACTGTGACACCCATTATAAAGCTGGTGGGCACTGGTGTTTTTGAAGATGGGAGAAGAAACATGGTACCGTGATCAGAAATAAACAAGAAGGAACAAGACTACTGGAAGAAGGGAAAGAAAAAATTAATGTGGCACTGAAGATAATAAAAAAAACAAGATGACATTTAAAATAGCCGCCACGTGCCTTTGGTTTTGATCAGAACTGGAATATGGGGCTAGCTGCGGTACGGTTGATGGGTGTGACTCCAATTTGGTGGGGGTGGTGCGCCGCGGGTGACGGCGAGTAGATTAGCCCACCAGCCGACCACTCTAGCGTTTTCTGGCAAATCATAATAAAAATGACACGGGAGGGGAAACAAATAAAGACTGAGTTGTGGGTTTTGCTGTTCCCTCCAATACTGAGGTTGTCAATTTTGTGTATAAGTCTGGATGGCAGGTTTAGATGTGAAGCTCACTTTTTGTAATCGTTATCTGGCCAACCTTATTGGATACTGAAACAAACCACAAACCAAATACGATGAGGCAACAATTTTACATAGCAACACTATGCCCAAAATCAAGAATACAGAAAGAAATCCCCCCCCCAAAAAAAAAGAAATACAAAAAAAGAATAAAAATAAAAATGATATAAAATAAAAAAATTAAAATTTAATCAGTTTGTATATTCTGCAGCCTTTCTTAACCCAGTGACTACTGCATACATTACTGTTGCCAGAGGACAAGAACCAATTGGAGATGTTGCTGTGGACATCACCTCTATGTAACCTTTGGCTACTGCACACCACTTTTAATCACCTAAAAATGTGAATTCCCTAAACAGATTAAACACATTTGAAAGTTGCACAACGAAGGCTGTACATTCCTATCCCTGGACAAATATCCAGACTTATGTAGTCCTGATATGTAGTCATTCCTGATATGTAGTCATTCCTCACTTGTCCAGGATCTAACTGGAATCGAACGGCTTAGAACCCCATGTTCATCCGAAAAGCGTCTTTAAAGGGGCATAGCAGCAGTGGACCATCATTTTTTCAATTAAATGGTAGGCCCTAATTCCACTTGGGCTAGCTAATGGTGGTGTAAAATGGGAGTACCTCATTATATGAGTGTTATCGGTAAAATAGTGCCTTCAAATGGCTCTTCTTATAGGCCAATCAGTACAGGCACAAAGCCTATAAAAAAAGATTACATCTTCAATCTTCTTGCAACATAGGACTAGGGAGCCCAAACATTTGGCTGTCCACTGCCAAAACAGAACCAATCGCTCAAGGGCGGATCCAGGGGGGCCAACCCCCCTCCCCCCCCAAAAAATGAATCCAATTTTTTTTTTTTAAGTGACATCGCAATTAAGGCAGGCACTGCGTACACCACCATCTTTTCCTCAAAAAGATTTGGTTAAAGTGGTCAGAAATTGCCTCAGATCGCACCACAGAGCATCTAGAATCCAAAAATTTTCAGGGCCCTTAAGTGGGCCCCGAACCCCACGCCGTAATTTTTCTGACCCACTTTTTGGGGGACCAAAAATGTTTTTGGCCCCCCAAAAATTGTGTTCTGGAACCGCCCTTGCAATCACTGATCTCTATGTACTGACTGGAATAGTGTGTCGACAATGTACATGTAGGCCGAAGTCACCATCTTGGTGGGCCAAAATGTAAGTGTACAAATCATCTGCTGCACTCTCAGTTACACAAGTTGGCGGCCATATTGGGGGCCCAAAAAGAGACCCATGGTAGTTTCACCTGTTAGTGTACAGTACATTGATGGGCATATGTCCTATGCAGTCAGTATTTAGAGATGAGAAAAGCAACCTACAACCGATATACATAAAAGGCTTCCATATTAGAAGGTCTTTTTTTAAACCCGACTCTTTTCCTCCAAAATTTCAAAAAATGAATACTGTTCAAACTGTTTCCATATTAAAGCATACGTTTAGTACTGTATTGTTAGTCAATTGCAAAAACGTTATTTCATAACATTTCATAAAGTACAACCTGTTTATGTTTCACAAAAATTATTGCTGTTAATGTACAATCTGCATGTGGAAAAGGAAGTCTCGGGGGGAAAAAGCCATGCAGTCTTCAAACAATTCATTAAAAAAAAAAGACATTTATAAAAAAAAGTTTTTGAAAGGGGGAACTTTTGCAGGATTTAATAATAAATACCACAATACGCATGCTGATAAAAAAAATAGAATAAAAAAGTAAAAAATTAAGGAAGGATAACAAAATATCAAGTTTCACATACACTTTTAATAAACAAGTATGAAAACCCATATTGAATGTATTCAATTTAAATTGCTTCGATATATAGGCCTACGCATGAGGAAAAATCTGCTAAATACTCAAACTCATGGAATACATTCTGTTTATTATCATAAACTTGACTGTGCATGAAAACATGCCCAAAGGAAATAAGGCAGTTTAGTTTTGAACCTGTAAGCCTATGGAAGTAAAAATATAAGATGTTCTTCTTACCTCTCCCATGTTAGCCTTGGCAAACTCTACCCGCAGGCCCCCACGATCACTGGACGGCAACAACACACCTTGCAGATGCGTCAAGGCTTGTGTAGCACAGGATATATTCTGATGACAAAAAAACAATGACAAAGATGAATGACAGTGACAATTTGTCATCAGGCAAATCAAAAGATATTGAGAACCCTTTCAGTTGTAATTTTTTTGGGTACACCATGGAATCAATCTCATCTTTGAAGAAGAGTGGCTCTGAAACGAACCGGTGGTGGAAATTGTTCTCTCAATGTTTCGGACAATGTACTGTGTCCGTCCTTGGGAAATTGCAAAGAGAATTCTTAAGAATGACAATTCTTAATGATACATTACAGTATCGTGGTGACAAAATGAAACACCTAGGAAAAAAAAAAAAAAAATGACAACCTTCATGAGGAATAGTGTGACGAGAACCTAATTTTTTTTTTATGACAATGAAAAATGCTGGGATAAAAAAATTCTAGAATCCAAGCCAAATTACCTGAAATTCCACAAAACAACAGGGGGCACCGCCTTTGTTGTGCACTCGTAGTCTAGTGAAACCGGGAAGGCTGCTTATAGAGGAGAATGAGAAAAAAAGAAAAGAAATAGAAACGAAAAATACAAAAACTTGATTTTACCGAGTTGATTTTTGGGCTTTGTCTTGTGGTAGTGAGCACCAATCTGCTTACAACAGATATAAACGATCTGGGAACACGATCACTGTACACACACACATCACATTTGTTTTACATGCGCTATGTGGACATTTCTTTGTTTTCGTGTAGTTAAGAAAACTTTACTCAAACTTTACTTAAACTGTGAAAACTCTTTCAACCCCAAATTTGTTTTTGATTTCCTTGAATGTTTCTCTTCATTCTGCGACGGATAACCCTAACCCGAAAATGCCTCTAAACCTGTTTTCCAGAGAGGGTGAAACGTTATGTGGACATGGCTTAGTCCACATAACGTCAACACAACCTGCATTATGTGGACATCTTTTGTTCACTTGTGACTGTAAGAGACAAACTCACCCACACACGCATGTATTTGCCTGCAATCGGGGACCCCCTATTGTCCCTCTTTTGTTTGTATTCTAACTTCGTAGGAAGACCTCCCATATGTTTTGAATACGAATCCAAACTGGGGACCTCTCGGGAATTGGGGACCCTATTGTCCTCTATTGTTCAACGTCCCCTATTGAATGCAGAAACAAACTCACACACTCACAAGGCCCCCTTCAATGGATACCATTGTGCACAGTATTGTACAAAGCAACTACCCTGTGACGGATAGTGTGAAGCTAGCACAATGCTTTCGCCATTGAAGGAGGCCTGCTTGGTAGAATTGATAGCATCCCGGGATAGGTCTTTAGATACCGGAACACATAGCAATAAGCCATTTGTGAGTAACCTATACCCTTTGGGATTTACGTTTGAAAAACATCTGGTACACTGACTTGCTCAGAATGCTTGGCACATTTTAACTTTGAATTCTCCAGACCAAAGACACTGTTGCTAATCACATGATTCGGGGCAAGCTCTTGCATAGTTACGTAAGGGACGCTGAGTACCAACACATTGTTCACTATGGGTGAGAATGGCACAAAGACACCAGACCATGCCGGAGCTGGGGGGCTGCTAGCATAAGGCTTGCCCCGATTCACGCGATATAGTAATATTCTCTTTGGTCGGGAGAATGGAAAGTTAAAATGTGCAAAGCATTGGATTAAGTCAGCGTTCCAGATTTTATTTAAATTTAACTCGCAACTGGCTTATTATGCAACATCGCAACTTTAATTTGGCAGTTAAAATGTTTACGAAGGATATCTTTGTGTATAACATAAATTTCAAGATCTTTTGTTTAACTATGATATAGTCAATTTAGGTACAGTGAGAAAAGCAATATGACAAGTTACTTTATGCAAATTGTAAGATAATGAACCTTCAAACCTATTCATCAGCAATTCCACTGGGTAGAAAAATGCAATACAGTAGGCCCGATATAAATATATTCATTTTAATAATCACCTTCCGGAGGTCTTATTGATGATGTGATATGTACACGTCTTATTTTGTTGTGCACATTTACTCAAAGATGTGTTTGTGATTTTAGTATTTTAGTGGTGTCTGAATAGTGTGTGCACCATTGCAGTGCATCAGTGTATGAGTATGAATCTATTTTAAGATTACTTTGCCCCAGGTGAAGTTTTAAATCATAATGCTTTAGTTTGAAAGGTAAACCAATCCCCTAATTGTGCAGGGACAATTGTAGCTCTAATCAACCAGTGCATGTTGAGGTTAATATGAGTACATTTTATTATCAAGTATCGAGCTAAGTGTTTGCAAATGTGTTGTGTTGTGTTAATTTGCATCTAGGAATGTGTTCTTGAAAACCAAGAATTTTTTTTTAACCAATACTGCTGCTACAAATTGGCAAAGCTATTATCAATATCATGACCACAACACTAACAATAACCAACTTTGGAAAGTCAATTCGGGCGATTCACAATGCAGTGCGCCACCAAGAGTTTGCCATGGAGAGTCCATTTTTCAAGTTTACGGTCGACAAAATACAGCCAATTTGAATAAGTGTCAGTAGACAACTTGAGCTGATCTGTTGTGTAGATTGGGGCATATCGTTCTTCCGCCTTACAAAAAAACCCAACATATTGATAAAAAGAAAAAGACAAACACATACTCGAATCATACGCTTACGAAACTACTGACCAGAAATACTAACAATTCAAATGTCCCGCGCTGCGGCAAATTTGTCGACCTTCTCCCACAATGCACTGGGAAATTTGAACTCTCTGTGGCAAACTCTTGGTGATGCACTGCATTGTGAATCGCCCAAATTGACTAGCCGATCCATTTAGCCCTGCCCACTGCGCACATGAGCAGCAACATGTGTGTCTTTCCAATGCAACACTGAATGTTCTAGCTGTGCGTAACACACACGTGCGTGAATGTCAGACTTTTGTGCATGCATTTTTTTTTACACATATTGATCACAGCTCTGATTGGCCAAAACACAATGGGGCAGGGCGGGGCTAAACGAATCGTCAAATTGGTAACGGGACATGTGGTTTGATTAAACAACTAAAATCAGCAAGTATCATAAGGCTGGGGCAACTTGCAAAAGATAACTTATTAAGTCTTCCCATCTGAGCACGTTTATGTAGGATGGCCCTTAGAAATTTAAGTGTAAACAATTGGCCATTCAGATTCCTGCGCAGTGGTGAATTATGGGCAAATTCAGGAAGCGCTTTCATGGGGGTTTCTCATTAAACCCAGCTTTGCTCTGACTTGAATCGTTAGCCCGTTTGAAGTATTGCAGACACAAGAGGGCACTATTTGGGAGTTAGTAAACTCTTTTAAATTCACCCAAATTTATCCACTTCAAATAGGGTCCTCCTTTTGTGTCCGCCATACTTCCAAAAGGCTAACGCCGAAGCCTTTCATGTCCAATTCAAGTGGAAATGTGCTCTGAACGTTAGCCACATATTAACCCTAACCACCCCAACCCTTCAAAATCCAACTGCATGTTTTGATGGATTCTATTGGAGTGAGGACTGCACTAGTTAGCTGATTATGCTTTACATGGGGCATACCACCATAATCAAGAGTCCAACAGTTTGGGTGTTGAGTTATCATACATACGGTGTTGGATTTTGGAAGAGTGAGGAAGGTTTCTAGTACATCACTCAATGGGGTTAGGGTTAAATGATTTGATAATCGTGATGTATAATGTGGACCCAAATTAAGCCAGCTGGAGTTCACCAAGTCAGGTGCCTCAAATTTTAAAGTTGAAGGTGGTGGCAAAGCCGAGGACTTTTGAATTCACCCAAATAAAAAAAACTTCCCGCAGCCGATTTCACAAAACTTTACATCGTTCCATGCCACATTTGATTGACTGTAAGTTGCGCAACATTTCATATTGCGCAACATATCAATTATGACATATTTCACAAAAATATTTCCCAGTGCGTAAGGCCGTAACTTACGCAACAAGTTATGGTGCAACTTCTATGATATTAGGTGGCGTAAGATATGGCCTAGCCACTGAAAATGTACTAATTTTGACTAATCATCGTTGAGCCTGTAAATTGCTCAACTAGCTTATCATGGTGGGCACAAGGAATTCGGCATTTTTTTTGGTTTTAAGTATTGCGTATCTGCGGAACAACATTTTTTGGGCGTAAATCCTTCGCATGGCCTAAGTTACGCACTGTTTCATGAAATCGGCTGCTGGGGTGTTAGTGTTAAACGTGTCTGACTGTGACTTTCCCCCTTTGTAACTCACCTACTACACAAGTCCCTCAGCTCTTGCTCTGCATTGGCACCGGTGCCCAGGTTTGCAATGAAGAGAGTGGAGCACGGTGCGGAGCCGGCTATGGCGGCCATGGTGGCCGCGTTGGCCATGTTCATGGGCAGTGTCTGCTGGGGCAGGGAGGTGGTGGCGGGGTGGGGGTGGGGGGCGTGTGCAACGGCTGAGTGTGCGTGGTGGGGCTGTGAAAAAGAAAAACCAACAGAATAATCACAATAAAAAAAAAATTGAAAATGTGACGATGATTTTTTTTTTTTGCCAAACACTTTGCTTTTGTGGTGTTTTTTTAATACTTTTTTCAAACATAAGTGAGCTTGTTGCATAATCTTTCCTCAGACCCTGCAAATACTTGTGATAATCTACCATTTTTTTTTACGAGTGAGTTATCGTTTTGGGAAGGAAGAACAGTGCAAACGAATGAAGGATGTGCTAGTGAAACATCACACACTGTCGCTTATTTGGAGAATGAAGTTCGTTACAAAATGTGTAGCAGTTACTTTCATTGCTTTCTTTGAACGGACTTCTAAATTGTGCACACACAAAAAACTTGTGGGCCATGTATACAATTTATGTATGTTTAGGTTTACCGTACTTTTATTTATGTAAATACAGGGGCAAAACAAAGACTGCAGCTCAACAAACACAGCTTTATGCAGCAATCATCAGTCTTTTTTATGTACATTAAGCTCCTCTGCCCAATCATCCAAGCGTGCACCGCGTGATACAGCAGCATATGGCAATTTTATTTTGTAGTGATTCTCATTATCGAGCAATGGTTACTCTAGGCCAGAATAAACCTGAATGAACCGTATCCAAAAATAAGTGGGTTTTCTGGTGGTTTCTGAAAACATTCAATTCCGAGGTTTTTTGGTTGTTGTAAAGTTATAAAAAACAAAAAAAAATGTGAGACTTTACAAAACTTGCACAAACACGGAAAAAAAGGCAGACAGTAAGACTGAGAGACAAAAGAACTGCAAAATGGACAAGTGGAGAACTAAACCTGACTGACTTTCAAATGAAAGCCACAAAAAAATTGAACGAGAAAGTAAGGCCGGTTTCTGGACGCCGTGCTACTGCTGTGCTGAACTTAATTGAAATGAGTGCGGTAATACTCGTCTACAGCACGGCAGTTGCTCTAAACGCCGAACTTAATAGTTGAGCCTTAATGCATCTGGAGTAATGGGCCAGGTTCAAGCAGTTCAAGCAGTCTGATGAACATTCAGTGCGATCAAAAATGTTGGCGCCAATTTCCCGTGATGCGGACACAGGAGAGGGATACTGTGAGCATAGCATTCCTAAAATGTTTGCCCCGACTTCAAATTGAATTGAGTTCGGCACGGCGTTTAGAACAGTGCCACGCCATTGCCATTCGGAACGGCGATAGCGCAGCAGCCTTGTAGCCCTAAAGGTAGTTGCCATGCCGAACCCAATTCGCAAAGCCAAATGGTTCTAAAATTAAAAAAAAGTCAAATTAATTGAGTTCGGCAAGGCAGTTGCACAGTGTCAAGAATGGGCCTAAGAGTCACTTGTCAGTCTTAAGTTATAGTGTCAGAACAACATTCAAATTGAAGAAAACAGCCAGTGAAACCAGACGAAATACCTGTTTTCCCTCTAGTGCCGGAGCAATAAGATTAATTTTTTTGGGGGGGGGGGGGGTATCAGTATTTTTTGTAAGTGTTATTGTGCTTTTTCCCCCCAACTATGTCAACGCATATTGCTCAGTGTACGCTCATTGATGTGAGAACAATGGTAATCCAAATTCCTGTGCATGAGAGCAGTATGAACTGTAACGGCTTTTTTTCTCCCCCTATAACATAAACAGTTTTAGAGTTCAAAGAGATGGTGAATCTGCCAACAGATTTTGTAACACGAGTTGACCTACTTTAACCCTCCAAAATTAACAAAAAAGTGACCAAAATGCCTATGTGTGACGGTAATGAAGACAAGAACTGGAATCTTTGGCAAAAGTCTGAATGCATCTTGCACATTTTAGCATAGGTCTTGTACAAAACCACCCTAGTGCACTTTTTTTTTAAACGTGATTGCATATTAGCGAAACAGCCCGGTGCATTTTGCATATGAAAACCATTTTGTACTGTAGGCAACAGCAGAGACTGCATTGGTGAGTTGTTGACTCTATCCGTTTATTAAACACCAGTGCACTGCACGGAAACCGTGGTGGATTGGCCAGTTTTTTGGGTTCTTTTATTAAGGGAATAAATGTGTGCTCGAGAGGTTTTAATCACTCTGTTTAAGACTGCTTAGAGTCTGGGTGCTGATAATTACCCGAGCCGGAGGCAAGGGTAATTATCAGCACCCAGACTCTTAGCAGTCTTAAACAGAGTGATTAATACCGACCAAGCACATATTTATTCCCATTCATAAATACCTTTTCGGTAAAAATCAAGTAAAAATCAAGGAATTCGTTCAAAAAATCCCGGTTTTGATCAACAAGTTCACTCCAGCTTTTGGAAACATTCCTCTAGCAAAATAATGGAGTGTTCAGCTGGCGAGTAAGATGTAAACAACCCTTTTATGGAGATCGACGCGCGCGTAGCACGTTCTGCGCGATGTCGCGCAGAACGCACCTGGGGCGTTGCGTTTTGAGTTTAGAACTATAAAATTCTGACTCACTGGTAGTGTTGCGCATGCCTACGTGAGGATTGTGAACGTTCAACCAATGAAACGGTAAGAGGCACTGGATTTTTAGGAGTCCACATTTTATGTGACACTGGAAAAGTGTTTAAGACCAGCTAGCCATGTCTTTATCATCCGTTTAAGACCAGCCACGCGACGGGCTCTCGACCAATAGGAATGGCTAAACTGTCTGAGGTATTTATGAATAAAACTTATTTAGAGGATTTTTTTTTTGGTGTCTGAAGAACGTACCAATACATAGGTTACCCGGGCGCCGTCTGCCGGCACTTGTGCGTGTAAGGCAGGATGGGCGGCAAAGACTGGATGGTGGTGGACTGGCGTAGCAGGGGTCAAATCCGCATAGGCTGCAGCCAAGCTGTTGGTGGAGAAGAAACAAAACAAAACAACAAGTGTGAGAACAGTCAAAAAGAAACAAGAATTGTGTGAAATCCGTCAAAGTGTTCTCTTGGTGTTGGTATAAATCATGCAAGCAGTTCTCAGCCATTTTTGGTTTTTGTTTACTTGCAAGACACTGAGGAATGGGTTAAGATTAAAAAAGTTTTTGTAAACTTTAAATACAAGACTTTCTGAATTCGGGAGATTCTAATACAAAAATTCAATTGTTTTGAAAAAAAAAAAAAACTTCAGAATTGCATATTTTCAGGGGTGAGATTGGGGGAGAATGAAAAATCCATGAGGGTCACTGGGTCCCCGTAGCAACGTAGGATCTATGATGTATATTCTTATTTGCCTTAAAAAACCCAATTATTTTGTTCAACATAAACTGTTAGTAAAAACACATTTACTGTAAAATCATCAGGACTTCCAGATTGCAAAAAAGGCATTCTTTCAAATTCCTGAAATTAGGTAAAAATCTGGTAAAAAAAAAATCCTGCTAAAAAAAAATCCTGAAATCAGGAAAAATTCTGACAAATCTCACCCTTGATAGTTTATGAATTCGGCGTGCTTGTGATTGCTGAAGTGGAAAGAAAGTATGGATCCGTTTACTTGTAATTTTCGGGTCTACTTTTTGTACAGACAGGTTTTGAGAACAAGACTTTGCAAAAAATATATGCAAGCAAGATCAAAGTGTCAGAAGTGGCCAAATAACTTATTACGTTTGTAAAACACACTGTGGTTAGGTTTTTCATATGATCAAACTTAATACCCCAGTTGATTCTCAATTTCGCCAATTTCAGTGCGAAGCGAAATCGTTAAATGAAACTTTATATGACTCCATTTGTTGAACTGTGAACTGGCCCAAAGAGGAGAAATCATCATTGACAACAGCACTCTAAAAACCATACGCTTTTTGCCAGCATTGCTTAAATTAGCATTTGTGACCATGGCCGTATGGCGTTTTACAGGTTTATGGCTTCTGACTTGCATGCCACTTAAACAAAGGAACTGATAAATTACATAGAGCTAGGTGCATGTAGCTCAGGCAGAGGAATAATGTCCAAAATATGTATATGTACATATATTTTTTTTAAATCAGATGAGAAGTGCACTAAGAAACTCAAAATAGCCACTGCAAGTGGGTCATTCTTTAAATTTAAGGTCCTTTATTTTTCTGTCCCTGTACATTACATGTGACATCTGTGATTTTATAAATCTGGGTGCACTCCTTCCAAGGGTGATTACATGTATGTGAAGCAAACGACATACCCAACAAACAAAAATTAGTTTGCAGTAATTTTGAATGACACTTGAATGGCAAATTATTATGAGTTCAGAGGTAACAGGGACAGAAAAAAATGTCACACTTTGGACCCTAAATTTAGAAAATGACCCATAACCTTGTGGTGACTCTACATATGGTCAATACATTGCAAATGATACTCAATGAAAAAGTATACAACACCAAATGTTGCATTATAACACTAGCTCTTGTTAATAAATGACAGAACAAACCACAACTCCACGGCTATAGTTACCGTATTCCACATGGTAACAAATTCTATTTTTGGTTTTGAGTGATTGGGATTCAACAATCAAAATGACTCTGCAGAGTCCAAACAGAACAAGAACCAAAACCCACCAAAATTAATCCTACATAAAAATAATATATGGTACTCACTACCTTGAGAAAAAAAATCAAAGAAAAAATGTCGGGGAAAAAGAAAAGAGAAAAAAAATGAAAAAAATCTGGTGTAAAACTTAAACAGATTTGGTGTGGATGGTCATTTCAATAACGTGCCCAGGCTAGAAACTTACGGATGGTGCGCCCATGCTTCTGCAGCGTGTGGTAAAAACACAGCAGTGCTTAGATCATCTGAAACATGCAAAAAACAAAAAAAACAAAAACAAAAACGACGCATTATTATCAATGCACACTGCCAGAACAATTTGGTGAAGGCGAAAAGTCAGTCTTTTGGGTGGCTTTTAGGTGCGTATGAAGGTTATTATGGGAATACCTACCAAAACCAAATTGGATCCGAAAACTAGAATCCATTAACTATATTTATGCCAATATTACCCTTATGTACTAGGAAAAAAAATTGATTCATAACCCAGTGCAAATGAATGATACCTGGTGCACTAGCCGTATTGCAGTTTAGTCCATTCCATATAAATAGCGCCCTCTATTGGCTATGGATGTATCAGAAGCTACTCAGTAAATTTTGTTACCTCAGCCTTTGCTGACCCCTTTTTGGTCTTAATTGTGATTGATTTCGTGCTCCCAAGGCAACAAAATGATAAATGTGTGTCACATTAAATGTGGAAAATAATGAGTCCAAATCGAATTTGTACTTTTCTTTTTACAGTGACACCTGGCATGCATTTCTTCTTCATCAAAATGTATTCAAACTTAGCTTATAGACACATCATTCCCATTATGTTAAAACTAGTCTTAGGGTGCAAGATACTTCAATGGTGAAAATAAAGATTTGTGATATTAGATTAAAAAAAAAAAATCAAGTCTTGATTGCTCTCCACTGCTGTGAAGTACAATGAAAGTGGTGTAGGTGTGGTAAAAAAAAAGGGGGGGAAGGGAGAAATGCTGATGGTGCTTTAAAAGGGGATGAAGAAATGTAAAATTAGAAAAGCACAGCAACATGGAAAGAATGAGGTTTAGTGCATGAGAATCATAAACACTTCTTGTTGCGTGCCTGAGACAGGGATGTAGTTGAGTCCATCACAAGTCCATCACAAGTCCAGTCACAAGTCAATTTACCAGTAAATCACAAATCCAGTCACAAGTAACAGTAGATGAACAATAACAAAGGAATGCCTTTGTCAAAGCTCATTCGAATAGCTTGTGAGTTGAATGAAGACCGGGGGTCTTAATTGTGATGGACTTGCAGGGACTTGTGATGGCCTCAACTACATCCCTAGCCTGAGATGATTGTGAGACAATCTTGGAATCAAGACCCTTGAGGATCATCTAACAGCATGATAACAACAATGAAAAGTGTGAGATACTGCAAGACATCACCTTCAAAATATGATCCTGATTTTCCGTCTCTACTGTAGAACACTACAGAACCTGTTTGCCTCCTTAAAACACTGCCCAATCATATCCAAAAGATCTTTGTGGCGTCACAATAATAGAGTCTTTGTTTTAAAAATGAACATACTAGACAGCACCCTTTGATCGCTGGATATCCCCCTTTGGTGCCGGGCAAATTTGGTTGGACGGTGATGATTTCAGAGCCGCCAACCCAGCTTGGGCAGTTCTGATGCTTTCTGTTCTTTGGCAGTGTTCTTTACATCCGTAATCAATGAAACAGGTCTACATATAGTGTGAATGCTAGCCAGAGCATTGTGTGTGTCTGTATAGAGCATCTCTATAGGTGAGAGCCCAGTGGGTGCGGCAATGACGTGGCAACAAATGCGTTGGCTGTGATTGGTTGGACTGACAAGCAACACGAGCAATTCAGGATACATCGCACCACCGAGTCTCAGAAATGCCACTTCCCAACTTCATGTTTAACATCCTTAAGAGCTATTTACACATACATGTGTACGCGACTTTGTTGCATGACATTCTAGAAATACACACAAATCAATGAACGTGTTTACATTTAAGTGACAGAGTCGTGCGACTTATCGCACAATTTATTCAAAGTTAAATTCGAAGTGATCTTCCTGCGTGACACAAAATGTCGCAAATGTATTTCAACTGTTCACTGTGAGCTAATTTAAAAAAATTGCGTGACATACCCAGTATGTTGTGGACACAATTAAGCATGTCTGCAACATTGCCGCGCCACAAAGTCGTTGCAACACAATCACATATATGTATATTCACCAGTCCTTTATTTTTAGCGTGTATCACTTCAGAAACGCACGTTCATTTGGCAGTCTCATAAAGGACCAATCATCACTTTCACACCAAAAATTCAAGTTTAATTGTGCGCTACGAAACTAAGTAAGAAAGTCCATTTTGCAGGTCGAGTCCTAATGCGCTGCAAAGTAGCCTCTCTGAGGTAACCAGCCCCTCGGTGGCACGCTGTATTGTGAACTGCTCCTTTTGATGATACAGATCATATAGCATGTATGTGTTTATACGATTGAACTAAACCGAGTGCATTTTTTTTGCCTTATCCATGTCCAGGTGAGTGTCGTGTGTCTATGCATCATGTGCTGTGTTCTATTATGTTGAAACACCAACTGCACTGTTTGCCACGTGTCTCTATAAGATCTGGAGGTCTTGGTGGTTTTTTTTTTCCCCTCGCAAGTTTCTTGATACTCACAAGGATCCCGCGGCGTCAGCTGTGCCGGGTGGGGTCCCATCATGGGCAGATTGGCCGGCTGCGGGGACGTCTGCTTGGGCTTGGTCACTTTGGTGTTGGACTTGGCAAATTCTAGTCGTATTGTCTGCGGTTGGTCCGGGTCAAAACGAACTCCCTGATTTCCAAAAAAAGAAAAGAAACCAAAGTTGAAAAACACAGATTTTGACACCTGACAACTAATGTGATTTTACTTGGTTATTTTATAGTTTTTTACAGTTCTAGAACTATTTTTTACAGTTCTACAACACCAAGGGCGTTGGCTATAGGCCGGTTCACTTGTCACACAAATGCAAGTATGAAGCGAATTAGACATCACGAAACATTCACTGCAAAATTTGCCGGGGTTGAAATGTGTTCAACTGTTTTGAATTTGATGTTCAAATTGCTGTGATATCAAGCAGTCGCGGTCACTTTTGAGCCGAGTGTTAACCAGCCTTATCTTTGGTTGGCGATTGTACATGTACGTGCGTCAAATGTGCACAGGGGCGAATCCAGGAACTTTTGAAGAAGGGGGGGGGGAGGGTGTTTCAGGCCCATCAAATATAGATTAAAGCCCCTGCAGAATGTCATCTTTTTATTATTACTATAATTGTTATAATTTTTTTTGTTTTGGTGTCAGATCAGTTTTTGTTTTTTTTGCCTCCCAAAACCCGGCTCTGGATCCGCGCCTGGTGCAGTGTAGCTACTTTTACTTCCCTGATGTAGCGAGTCATCAACAAATGAAGTTAGCATGTATGGCTTATAACTATGTATAAGGTGAAATAATACTGCTTGATCCATTCATCCACAACTAATTAACATATAAAGTAGCTGTATTAATAAATACGTTTCGGTAGCAAAGATGAGATTATATATATACATGTACATGTACTCAGAGAGTGAGTGCACCTGTATTTTAGAAGAGGCAAACTAATTAGGGCTTTGCATTTTCAAATCATTAAGTATTCGATTATTCCAACTTGGACTTGATCGAATATTCAAATATTCCACTTTGAAATGCACTGATTAAAGTTTAACATGCACCAGCCCGAACGGGCCGCCAAATTGGGATTTGCATACTCCTGTGCGCTTGTTGGAAATGGACGAAGAGTTTATTAAAATAATATAAAGAACAGGTAGCCGAATGGCTGCTTTTTGACCGATTTTAAAGAAGATTTTTGCGCAAATATTCCTCATGGAAGCTCTCAAAATCATGCCCGAAAAGTGGCATCAACAAAGTGTTTGTTTGACAAACAACAAAACCATGCAACTTTTTATACAATTACAAATAAACAAGTAAAAACATCATGGACTTTTTCATCATTTCCATGAGAAAGCTTACATTTATTTTTGAATATTTGATTTAAAAAAACCCCTGGATATTGGGTTAAATTCAAATATTGGGTACGGTACATTCCGCAAAGCACTAAAATCTAATGCGCATAAATTGGCCTCATTAAACAGATGGTCTCACAATTCAAATACCATGCGTCTCAACAAGCCAAGAAAACACCGGCCACGAAATACAGGTTGCCTTTCTGATTGCCGACTTCAATAACGAGATCTGACCGCATAACACATTTTCAGGGGCCATGTTTTTTACGCCTAGTTTTTTTTTTTTTTTAAGTTGATAATCCAGCAAATAGGGTCAGGTGTTTCCACACAAATTACCATGTGTTGACATGCCAAATAAGCGTACAATTACGTGTGGCATCCAACCCAAGAGGATATGGCTTGAGACCAGCGAAGGTCAGGGCCGCGTCTGAGGCCCTACAGTGTTCAATTCAAGAGGTGCTCAGAGTTTTGGAGCGGCTTTTACTACGATGTTGGAATAGTATAGTCCAAAAGATGGTTGAGACCATCTGGTAGCTGAGAAATTAAAAAATATTCTGGGATTCATTGCCATGGACTGGACTTTTTTTGTGTCTGCGCTGAGCAAAGTTTGAAGCAGTGGTTTTGTACTTTTAACTTTGCAGTCAGTTACAGCAAGGCAACAATGAGCACAACAGGCAGAATTGAAGATGTTGTCTTCTATACATTTGAGAAATTTCAGCGACAAGAATTCTTCTACACTAGGACTTGTTCCTAATTATGATTTCAAATGAAGCTTGAACGGCATTAAAACACACTGACTACAATAAAAAAAAAACTATTTCCGCTGAAGTGCCATTATAAAATGATTCAAAATCTAATTTTTTGAACCCTTCCTCAAACAGAACTGAGAAAACCAAAGTCTTAGATTAGACATGGACATTTAATGTCTGCTCCCTATAATGTCTTGGAGTGCAAGCTTAAGTAACACCCTTTTTCATACTTTTTCATCAGTACTGAACAAGTAATTACCTGTCTACATGAGAAATAATTTGTGCCCATCACGTTTGATCTTTAGCCACAGCTGAAATCATAAAAGTGGGTACTTGGCATCCACATTGTCTGGAACACTGGCATTGCCAATAGCGCCCTCTACTGATTTGAATTAGAAAGTGGTGATTGACCAATACACAGATTTGAAACACAATGCCACCTGGGCCTTACTTTTCCATGAATCAAAGCTCTACCCTTACAAGTACATGTATTACACTCCCCCCCCCCAAAAAAAAAATCCTGTTTCACACTTGAGGAGAACTCAGAGTCGTGTGATGTACTAAAAGATTTATCCCAAGATTGTGTCTAAAATTTCCCATTTGTTTGGGATTTGGCGCGGTATACTCACTGATAACGCTTGCTTAGCCGACTCTGCACCTGCTCTGCTATCAAACGTGACAAAGCCTACAGGCTGGTGGGGAGAACAGGGAGAAAGAAAGAGAGAAGGAATATGTAAGATGGAGACTGCATATATTACTATTTTTGTTAAAGGCAGATAGGATCATTTGCACTTACCCCAAAAGTAACCTACCAAATTGTTATCAAAAAGCTTACTTGGATTAAAGATCGTACGGGTACTTAACACCCTGAGATATTGTTCCATCTATCTTGCTGTCATTTAGAACAAATCAAGAAGTGTAGGCGATTTCCAACGATTAGTCAGTTGACTGATTTATTTGAATTAACTTTCTATCGATGAAATCGTGCTTCGTGATCAAAAGGTTGTGCATGCTTTTTCACTGCTTTCTCAAGAAGTGTGATATCCACTGAGCTGAAACTTCAACAGGTAAGGTTTTGAATGTTCTTCTTTGGATTTTGAGTGGTGTTATTATTGGAAACAAACAAAATGCATGAAAAGCAAATGATCCTATATGCCTTTAAGGTTTTTTTTTTTTACCTGAAATACAAAGAGTGATTATGATAATTATGACAATGGATACAAAAGTCATGGTGAATGGGGCTATGATGATGCCATTGCTGACAATAATGATGATGGTGATGTTGTGATAATTGGGGGGGGGGGGGGGTTGATGATGGAGATGTTGACATGGCAAGAACAAATTCTGTAGATGATTAAAACGATGATGGACACTGGTGACAATAATGATGAATACATTGAAGATATTGATAGTGACAATGGCAAAGAGGGTAATGTTGATATTGAGGAAATCTTGTAAACAACGATGAACGTGAGCGAGATAATTGACGAGATCTTCCCTATTTAAATGACAATTTGAGATGATAATTCAGTGACCACGAGAATCGACAAAGAGGATGAAGTGTTGATGAGGGAAAACAATAATGTCAAGGATAACGAAGGCTGAGACAATGACTGTTAATAACTGCACAGATGAAGGTCGTACTACAGGACAACGACAGCGATTGAGGAATGTACATGTAAGGCCAAGGAAAAAAAAATAGTTTCTTGTCCAGACTTTTTGAAAAAATGGAAGAGCCCTTATCTCCCAAGATGGTTCATTTTCAATCAAAGACGGCGTATAGATTCTTCCATTTTCTCCACCTTTTGCTGAGACAAAATGTTGTACAGAGGAGCTGTCACTCTTTCTATTAAGCTACACTTTTGTTGGAAACATTTAAAAAGGCAAAAATATTGACAACATTTATTTCAAAAAAAAAAAAAAAAGGAAAGGGGTGGGCACGAGAAACTAGATTTTTTTAAAACAACGTAAAGATGACACATAATAATGATTATGTGAAGACATCAGTGTTGCATGACAACATTAATCTAAACATTCATCGTAATAAAATCATCAAAATGTAAATGAAAATGAAAATATGGCCAATATACTATGCATTGTTTCTAAAAGGTCCAAACCATCAACCACATTTCCAACTAACCACATTTCACACCCTCCAAATTAACCCCCACCAATCCCAAACCCTAAATCCAACATCCAACATCAAATCCTAGCAAAACAAACTCTGCAAAGAAACAGAGAGAAAGAGAAAAAGAGAGAGAGTCGGACTACAGTCAATATTTTGGGCCGAGCGCCTCCCACCGCACAATGCGCATCACGGTGCGCTCGGCGGGCCCCATTAGAAGAGTAATGATTTCCAATGCTGGAAGACGTTACTTCCGTCGAAATGGTGGGAAACGCCGACGTCCTATATCCGGAGGCCAGCTGATCTGAAATGCTATCCAACACGGATCAATCCCGACTTTTTTCTTTTATCATTCTATATGTAGCCATTTGAGATTTTTTTTTTTTTTTTTTAAATAAATAGACGTGGACACTGGCACTGGTACATGAAACATTGTACGGCGGTTGCTAAGAGGTCCTGCATTGGGTTTAAGCAGCAGAGCTGCCTAGTTTATTGTAGAAGGTGACCATTAAATTGGATTTATTTTCGGAAGAGGAGTGGATTTCGGGAGAACGAGAGTGATGGCTGGTTCCATTGTGCAATAAATAATCATATTTTCCTGCCAAGAAGACTCATTGTAATTTCGGAAAGATTTCAATATACGAAGTTCACTCAACACCCTGTGTACAAACCCTATGAGATAGGACTGAAAAATTCTAAGTGTTTTCTAAGAAAATGCTTGTATTTTCTCACTGCTCAAATTGACTTTGATGACATGAAATTGCTATCTGGGGGCTTGTTAGTCAATACAGAGGAAAATTAGTGAACTTCTTATATGGAAATCTTTCCGTAATTTCAAATATATATATATACAAGTCTACATCCAATATTAATTGGTTCTTTTTTTTCTTGCTAATTCTCTTCAAGGGAATGAAATTTAACATGAAACATCCCAGTAGATTAAAAAAAAAGGTGGATATCTTTATCCTTTGAGAAAATTGTCATCGAAGTATATAACAAGCCTGTGTGGCTATGTATGATGTGTTCTGAAGACGTATGTGTACAAGTGCAAAATGAAATATCCTCAGTTGTTTTTATTCCAGTTTAATAAACTCTAGCTCAAGTACTGAGAATTGAACAGTTTCCCTTTCGGGGTTACCCAAAATGCAAAATACCAATAAGTTCAAAAAGCAAAGTTATCTTAAAAAAAAAAAAAGATTGTCCAAGAGTTTCATACATGTAATACTTACCGAGGAGCTCTTTCCCGGTTTACTTGTCAGCTTCAACAAGGAGCCTTCATAACCCTGGACAAATAAAAGAACAACGGAATGAAAATTGTTACTGTAAAGAAGGAATTAATTATCAACACTGTTCGGTCCTGAGCATTAAATGCAAAATAAAATAATAATAAAAAAAAAAAAAAAAACACATGCCAAACAACCCAACCAATTATGTCAGCTGCCACAGGTTTGTGTATTCAACACACATTCAGAAGTGACAGGCCCTCGAAAAGTCACAGGATACGCTCAACATGGCAAAAAAAAACACCCACTCATACCCAAGCCACCGTCAAACTGTTTTGTAAGCATCCAAGAATAGGAACCTCTAGAACGGTACACTCAAAACCTCATGAAGTTAGATGCTGCTTCTAGTTTTTTTTTTATTAAAACAAGACACAGAATTGGTTGAGAAATGGTAAGGAGGTACATTGTATCACAGTTAGGAAGAGGCTGGAAAGATACCGGTACAGCCAAATGATGATGATTGTACGTAAATCATTTCAGGTTTGCTATTACATATGCTGGAAACTGTAGAAACACTTTTTTTGGTGGTTTTTCCGTTGAGGATCTGAAGTACACGTATTTTAGTAAATCAGTATGAAGATTGTGTGTGGGACTTTTCTTTGATAGAGTCATTATCGAATTATATATCATATGTAATTATAAGAAGGAAAACTTTTATATCCTGCAAATTTGTAGTTGTCACTTGTTTACGATTGCATACTGGTCCTTCTCACAAACTTTTGTTCTTTAATTTCAGCACAAATTCATTGTAAATTAGTATTCGTGTTTGATGATAACAATATACTAGGCGACATATTCAGGTGTCTTGTCTGCCGTGTTTCCTTAACCTACCCGGCAAAAAATGGAAAAATCTGCCTCATTGAAAAATAACCCTCACCATTTAAGACAATGCAATTCTCTCTGAAATAAAATTTAATACCCCACATCGAATTAGGCGCCCTAGATTTCTATAAAACTCTTCTGCAGATATCTCTCTGCATGCCCATTTATGCAGGTGCAACAAGATTTCCAAGCAAAGGTTGTCTGATTTTTGTAATAATTATAAAACCTTTGCTTCAAATACGCGTATTTTCAGATTTTGTAAGATGTTTTTTTTCCCACATACCTGTCCAACCAACAACCATTTTTGTTCCTGTTTGACACTTTGTTGTCAAAATACTCAAGATAGAGACAGCGGGGAAGCTAAGGTTTTTGAACAAGTAAACGTTGTCCTGTGCACTGTAATTTACTTTTTCTTCTGTGCAGTACAGGTATGGTTATAGTATATGTGGCGATCATCGTCTCACTCAAGTGTTTTGCTGCACCAACATGTACTTACGCATTGGTTGACGAAGATTCAAGTTTATATTTCAATCAATACTGCCGAGACATCTTTCTGACAAACACGACCTACCACTCAATACAGATTTTCATCAAGGGAATTTCCATCTTGATGGTTCACAGTTCTGTATGTAACTATATGCACACACAAACTATTTTTACAAATGCATTTTGCGCTGAAAGTAAAGTACACCCACCCTCTAGCAATCAAAGTTGGGTAAATCTTTTTTTTTTCCTTCGGTTGCCTCTATGTAAATTTCTCCTGGATGTTGTTTTTCCAACGAAAACCGAAGGAAAAAAAATTTGTAAATAATCCCAGTGAGTTGAATTACCGTGGTCTATAGGATGTGACGATCACTATCCAAATAGCAACGGTGAATTCGCACTGAAAACAGAGACTTTGCAATTAGTTAAAATCGCCTCGGGGGGCCTAGTGCCAGATGAATGGCAATCAAAACCCTCTGGAAAAAAAAAAATAGAGAGAAGAGAGAAATGCCCACGTCACTTCTGTACCGTTTAATCTCTAGATAGCCGGTGCAGTGGGATTGACGCTAGGTTATAGCGTGCTTGTGTGTGTGTTTGTGAGAATGAATGCTGTTTGTGCCTCAATAGCACAGGCAATGTTATTCACTTCATTCTGTCTCCAAAAATTTTAAGCTATTGATCACAAAATTGAATACATTCTGTAAACAGTAATACAAGACGCAATTCTCTCTTTGAAACTGAAGAAAAATGAGAAATGCACAGGGGAGATGGGCCGTCTATTCACTGCTTATTTTTGGTTTGGTTCCGTTGCAAATGGGCAGAGATGGATGTTAGGGAGAGGATCGGATGAACTGGGAGGCTTTATTTGGATGACATTCAAAGGAAAGCTTTTAAGGAGAGAAAAAAAAAGAAGAAGAAAAATCATCTAACGGTGCGCAATGTTATTCTAGACGGAAATTCTAAAGGCTGCTTTTCCTCGGGCATTTCTTCGACTACTTTTATATTCTCGAGGGATGTAATAGTGAAAGAGGCTTTATGAAATATCAAATTTAAATTTAACTTTCAGATGAGGTTAAGTAGTAAATGAAACTTGCCTAATATTTCTTCGAAACTCTGGTGGTACATGCAGTTCCATTACAGGAAAAAAAATTGGTACAAAGCTGAATTTCTTTTGGTCTTAAATTTTTAGGAAATAAGTTCAAACGTTGAGAATCTCCCTCATACGTCATCTGCTACACATACCTCTAAGTTCTAATATTGCAATTTGGAAACAGGGCACAATACTATGTACTTAATCCCCTTGCTCTTTTTGAAGAAAAAAAAATACTTGAACCCTCTTGCCCTCCCCCCCCCCCCCCCCCCATTTGGTTTTGGATCAGCCCTTGCCCACAGAGTATATGAGAAATGGCAACATACCATTTTATGATGGAAGGGGTTTGGCAGGTCATGTTTTCTGAACCAAAAGATGACAAGTTCACTTCTTTTTTAAATTTTCAAGCAGAAAAATTGAAATGGTCTATCCTTGTGCGCAAATTGTACATGTAAAATAATAATAACAACTGGATTTGTAGAGCACCAAATTGCAAAAGGATACAAGGTGCTATGTAGTCTGTAGCATTCAGATCATGCTTACTCCTTTTTAATTTGATTCTGCTGACATCTTTTAAAAAAGTACCCGTGCTTTCATCCAACTTAAGCAATCACAATCAGACAGGCCCTCATCACAACTCTTAATGAAATGGGGTGATGACAGGGTGATTTCTAACGATGATAAGAAAAAAAAGGGGGGGGGAGGGGGAGGAGACAACTCGTACGCCAACTGTCACAGATTCATGGGCCGTGTGCACCTGCCCCTGATGATTGGATTTTAAAAATGCATGACCGTTACCCTAGATGGGATGAAGTCTGGGGAGGTTGGTGATTTGGGTTCGTTCCAAACAGGTGTGACTGCTAAATAATGGGCTAACAGACAAATTTATGCCGCGCCTTGTCATTTGTTTAAGGACCCATCTCTAGAGAGGGGCAAATGAAGGAAGGTGTTATCTGCACGGAGAGACGTTAGACGCTTCTGAAAACAGGTTTCGAATTTCATCACAGGATACGGTTCACAAAGAATTATATTTCTCATTTTGAATTTCGAACAAGGTGAATATCCTTTTTTGGCTGCAACTCTATTTGTCTGATTCAAGAACAGAATCTACAACAAGAATAGTGGCACACCCACGGATGAGAGCAATTTTTATAGTGGGTTTACCCCTTCACCGATGTATTTTTATAAACACTGTATACTCGGTGTTGTCCGAAGGCTTGCGAGAAACAAATTCACAAGTTCACTTGGGTGGGACTCAAAGCCACAATCTCCTGCCTACTAGTGCAGACGTCTTTACCACTCAACCATTGAGCTTGCTTGTAAATTTTATATTAGGTTTTGCCCTTTGCCGACGTATTTGTAATATAAACACTGTATATACTCAGTGCTGTCTGCCGCAGATCAATTTGTTTCCAAACTTTTTCTCCTAAAATGTATTGACAACACAAATGATGTGCATGTATTCTCACCTCTCCGCCTCAATGTTACAAAAACACATTTATAAACGCTGCGCTTGTGAAGCTTCCTTTGACAGCCAAGCATATATTTCCCCCTTTTCGTGATTTGGGTTGCGTGAGCGTCACACAGGCCAGAATGCAAACATGCCTTCCTCTCCCCCCTTCGCTTTCAGCCCCCGTTATCGTGCTCCCGACCTTAATCGCTGGAAACAAATGCGTCCGAGTGTAATCGTCGGCACGAACAGCACCGCGGCCTACAATAACACACATGTTGTCCGTCGCAGAACCTAAATTGAATTTTCAGAACAGAGGCCTGGGCCTGCGACACAGATTTCGGTCGAAGACAGGTACATGTAGTTGACGGCATGAGCATCTAGTCTAAATTCAGCACGATCCCAAACCATGGCAAAGTCAACTGCAAATGAAAAGGGGTTTTGGAGTCACCTAATATCTTAATTTCTTTCGGGGGGGGGGGGGGGGGTTTGGGTATGAGAAAAGAGGGACATCGGAAAGGGACTTAGACAAACAAATGCAAATGATATTCCTCGTGAATTTAAGTGGGTGATGTGTGGGGAGTGGAACACTAAACAGACAGTGATTGAGCCCATGGCAAACCAAACTCAGCTTCCAAGACTAACCACGTCTGACACTTAATTGAACGAAAAATGCATTCCATCAAAGCACTTTGAGTATCGCTAGCTTGCCCACACAGCATGAATGTATATGAATTCCTTTGCCCAGATATTTCCGCTTCAATCTTAATTACCCCATTAGAAACAGTAAAATGTCCTCAGCTTTCATTATAACTATCTTCTGCTGTGTCAACTTCATGATCCTGCAGATAAGTATGTAAGATCTTTCTTCTTTCCTGTTCCGTTATAAATGTATGTCAATGAGTACTATAATCTAAATTTTCTACGCATTTGTCCTCACTACACCGAATCCGACATCTGAATTAAGACTTGAAGTAACTTAATTATTTATGAAAAGGAAAAAACCTGAAAGCTTGCAATTAGAATTGATACTACTAAAGCATCCCCCATCATTCATAAACCCAATGTTGCGAAGCCTAAACGTCTTGACAACTGAACCGCAGTCTGATCTTTACACAAGAAGTACTGCACTCTACACTGCACTCTAGTGTCTCACGCTTGGATAATGGAAGCAAAATCCTTTGAATAATCTGTTCTGAGGAATTTTTCTACTATAAATAAAAGGTTAAGCCTTTGCCATTTATCCTGAAAAAAAGGGTGGTGAAACTTAAGACAGTAACTGACACTGGCTTGATAGAGGGATATTCCACTGTGGGGAAAAACACGCATTGAATCAACATACAATGGCAACTGTTTGACAGTTTACAGTGGTCTGATCTGTACACCTCGGAGATGGTCGAGTAGCCCGAGTAGCTTTTCAATTTTGGGTCCCAGTCCTAGACTGCTGCAGGCAATTGGCGTGTCAATTTTCCGCCTGACTTCACAATGCCAGACTTCCAATGTGCCATTTAGTTATCAAAACTACGTGTCACTGCTACATGTATGAAATTTCCATGCCACATGTGGCCAGAAATACATACAACTAGTAGGTGGTTTCACTTAGATTTTGATGATACGAACAGGAAAAATACCGTCTCAAATCTGGATATTAAGAGTTTTGTGCTTCCGCTTTTGGATTCCAGTGGATATAGTTGAGGTGGGTATAGGGATGGTTGATCAATATGTTCCTTGATGCTTTTTTGAGACGAAGATAAACGATGCTTTATTGTTTGTTTTTTTTGTTGGGGGGGGGGGAGCTGTTTTAATGTGTCCAAATTTCTGGAAAAGGGCACCTCTTCCGAGTCATCACACTGTACTGCCAGGAACTTTCCAAAACATAAGCTTTCAGCAAATTAACTTTGTGAGAAATTGTCAATCGGACCGAGTCAAAACTTCCAGGCAGCCAAACCACTCGCATGATCACCTGTGCACATCCCGTAAACTGTCACCGATCTCAAGATCTCCCTTGGGGGAGGGGGGGGGGGGGAGATCCTTCAGCATCCGCAGACAGTGGCACAATTAAGGATCCAGGGACTTGGACAACAGCCCTTGTTACACACATCATTACGTACCTGATACGCTCTGAACAGGAGGTACAGCTCGCGTGGTGTCGCATCCATGGGCAAGCCACTGACGAACAACGTCCGTACCTGGGATAAAAGAAGAAAAAAGAAGTAGAAAATAAAGGTTCAGGTCAGAAACAAGCAGGTCATGGAGAAACTTGGGATGTGGGTTAAAGGGGGGGAGGGGAGGGGAGGGGGCGAGTGTGACATTTCAAAAAGTGTAGGTCGCGACCCTCCTCTACAGTTCGGATGAGTGTCTTGACATTCATCTTACCATGGGGTTAAAGAAGAAATGATGAGCAATACTTGATCTATGAGGTGCTAAAGATGTGGCATGGTAATATTATTAGATGCTGTTGACTAGTCAAGATGGATCGGAGGGAAACCTAAGAGGATGATACGATCCGTTTTCCATCCATGGTGTTGACGGGCTGGAAACAACAACTTTAAGAAAAAAGAAGGGGCGGGGGAATTAAGCCAATGATTGGGTTTATCGAACCCCAAGAATTATCATTCGGACCATCGTGAGCCATAGTGCAAGTTAACTTGGAGAATTACAGACACATTTTGAAAAACAAAAACTACACAGTTTGACAAAATGGAAGCTTTCCACATATACACTGTGAAATGTAAACAGTTCTCTCACACATTCAAAAATAAAGTCGTGGTTAAGTCCCCCCCCCCCCCCCGATTTTGGATCTCATTTTTTCAAAACAAAAACTACATTGTTTGAAAGAATGGAAGCTTTCCAAAAAAAAGAAGTTTGTTTCACAATCCTAAAAAGTCAACTACTCCCTTCAAGTAAGTTCAAAACATGTATAATCCTGGAACCCCCCCCCCCCTGAAAATCCTTGAACTCTCCGTGGCAGAGTCATTCCAATTCAGTCATATGTTGTTCAACCCTTCAAATCAACACAATATAGTGGTTTTAATACAATCTTGGTGCACTCTTAATTGTCTTCCCACTCACTGATCTTCACTTTTTTTTATCCTTCCCAAAAAAGAGGCCTCGAGCACATGACTTGATATGCTTTTATGATAGGCTGACACACAGCTGGTGATATTCTTTAGAGATAATTGTAGCTCCTAGATACAAACATGCAGATGCAATAACATGGCCTTTTTTGTGAGTTCTACTTTTATTGCCGATTTATTGCAGATTGCAGACTGTGTATTACACGTGTACATTGCTTGTGATCATTTAGATAATGATAGATCCACGCATTTGATCAAATATGATCTGTATTGTTTGTATTCGTTCGTTGTCAGAATCAACAGCGGAATGAAATTGAGGAGTATCACTATCTATGTGGGACCCAAAAGCATTCATATATAAAAACAAAGAATGGAAAAACAAAACAACATATTTAAATAAACACCCACAAAGGGATAAACTATATAGTAATGTTGGTTTGTCAACTAAACTTAATTTTTAAACCCATTAAAAACACTTGAAAGTTCTTCTGGAAAAGAAAATTAAATTTTCCAATTTCTGATGAAATAACCGATGTACAGTTTTTGTCTGAACTCAAGATTTTCACCTTGGGAGAGAAAAAATTAAATGGAAAAAAAAATTGACTAAAGAAAATAGATCAAATCAAAAACACAACAACCTCATTTCTCACAAAAACGAACCCAATTCAATTGAAAATTAATCAATTTCCCAGAGACGAGGGTCCATTTATTTTCCCATTACCGACGAAAATGGAAACAGCGGGCTGAAACACACAGCTATTAAGAGGAAGGTTACGATGGGTAGAGCCTGAACCACAAGAAAAATTCTCCGCAGATATGCATTTGTACATAGCATACAAGCTTTGCAAATGCATTTTTACTGTATGGTTTTAAATATAAATTCTAGACAGCTGAGCCGCAAATTGGTTACAAATCCTTGTTGATGGTATACATATGCTGAACACACATGTGACCTTTCATCACAAAATGAGCTTAAAGTCGGACTTTTTAAGAATTGAGATATCTATATATTTGGATTCTGCAGAACATGAGCTTTCCAAAGGTATACAACGTTTAGGGATACTGCGTTCAGTAATAGAAATATAGACCACCGACTAAATGTACTTGAAGTTGTAAAACTGATTTTTGAGAGAATGTCATTTAAAAATCCTGCAGTTGTGTTACAGTGAATGAACAGTCAACTCATAAAATGAAGATGTTTTGAAGATGTTTGACAGAACACAAGAAAAGCACTGGAGAAAGCTAAAAGAGGACTTACAGATCAAAATTCCCCTGGAAACAAAAAAAGACCACCCCTTCAAATTTTGGCTTTGCCTCACTGTCCTGCAAAATGGCAATTTCCGACTTCATGGACAGATCACATATTACAGTATAGAGAATCACGTTGACTAAACTTTTGCCATAAAAAGACAATGCTACATAAACAATGAATTTCTACTCAGCTCTCCACAGTATTCAATCAAGTTGTCAGTGTAATAGTGTGTCAGTTTTAACACATTAAAATCTGAGGAATTTTTATGTGCTTTTTTTAGTATTGCGAAATGTACTTTCAAATGAATTTTGGAAAGTACAGAAAAGGTAACTAACTGTGTAGTTCAAGTAAAACGCATCACAAAAGACAAAACAATTGAATACGCTGAGCATATCTGAAACAAGGGAGTTTCACACGACATTTGAATTCAGCGCACGGAAGATGTCTAATACATGCGGCTGCACTGCTTTTACACCATGACTGCGTGTACACTACAAGTGCACGTACGCGTTCAAAAACCCTGACGACATGCGAGGCAATTACAAACAGCAACGCAGGGCCCAACCTGCTCGCTGCGTTCAATCTCCAACCGAAGTCAAGGCCGGCAGGAAAGGTGCGAACATGACCGGAGGGAGACGGAACGGCAAGAATAGACTGGGTGGACGGGGAACACACAGGAGCAAGCGAGGCAGGCGATGATAAAAGGCTGCTGGCTGCTGACACAGGAAGCCATTCCCAATATCATTAACATCAAGGATAATAATATTGTGCTGCGCCCAAAATAAGAAGAAAAACACCTGCAGAGGGGCTAAATGCTGCTTTTTCCCCCTCTAAAAAACACTTATGGAAATTGTTTGATGGAGGAAAAAGGAAATGACAAATTGAAGATCAGGTTGGGCATGCAATGTGTTACGCTGGGTATAAAGACACGTGTAAAATTAACAGGTTTTTATAGTGGTAAGAGAAGAGACAAATTTAATTGTAAAATAATTACAGTCGTCAGTGTCAAGGACAGTCATGATTACTTTCCGTAAACCCAAATCTACATTCAATTATTTTCAACAGTGCAAAGGGAATGATGAAAAAGTTTCATGTTTTTTTTTAAATAGACAACTGCTTTGAATTGTTAAAATTCATTTAAGAAAACTAATCGGGATTGTGAATTACTGACCAAACTAAGGTGGTAAGCGGAGAATTTTTAAAGACACCAAACCCCGGATTTTTTTATTCTCTCCTCTTTGGCGAGTATTCTCTTAAATTTTAAGTTATGTCAATGTTGAAATTACATTTACAATGTGAACTTAAATAAACAAACAAGAAGACAAATGATAATGTGAGATCGTCTTGGCATTGGAATATGCTGATGGAATCCTAAAAATAGCCACGAGTCTTTTTTTTTTTTTACAGTGGAAAAACAAGCAGAATTTGCAACACAGGCATAGCGCCCCAGGGCACAATCTGACAGCTTTTTGCCTCCCCCCTGACACTGGCTGCGTGCTACAGTAGGGCTCCCTCGCTTGAGACCTCTTCTGCTTCAGGCTACAAAGTCGTACGTGTGAATCAATTAAAGTCAACAGGAATCTTGAGTATCCTTTTGCCTTCAAAAAGAAAGGAAAAAAAAGGTTTTTTCCCCCTTCTTTGTGCGTGATTTTCCCCCGTTTTGTGACTTAAGGGGCCTTTAGAAGATGCAGTGGTTTGATCTCTGTTCATTTTTTTGTACGACTTTTCTCACGTGAGTGGATTTCAATCAACAGTAGATAAATCAAGTAAATTGGAAATTTGCAGACGAAAGTGTTTTTGTGTCCATCAGTTTGGGTTAAACTATCAACATGTGATACAGTATGTGAGGACTCCTGAACATCCGTAAAAAAGAAAGAAATTTGCACGACTTGATTTATTCTAAAAGAAACGTTTTTTAATTTAAACAAAGGACAAAGGGTGTTTTTGATTTCATAACTTCAATTTCATTTTTTGCTTTTTACAATCTCTATCCTTTCTGAAAAATTGGAAGGACAGGAAAGTTAAGTCTGCAACGTTTTGTTTTAATGAACCGAAATTCAAGATGATGCCTGTCTCTTTAAGACGTATGTACATCAAGAAGCAAATACAGATCAATAATTTTTTTTATATATATAAAGCAGAGACACAAAGCACCTTGAATCGAGCAAGGTATCACCGGCTGAACATTTCCTGTAGATGTCTACAGAAATCCCCCAGGAGCTCCTTAGCCTGTGGTCTTGCATACATCAAGTCATGGCGACGTCTAGAAGGGGATTGGTAGGTATAAGAACAGGGGAAAAAAAAGGGGGGGTGGTTGCTGGGAGGTATCAAAGAAATCCTGCAAGATACTACCGGTGCTCCCACTGCCAAACCTGTCACTAATGGATGGAGAAACGTGCACGTATACCCTCCGGGGTACACCCCCAAATAAAACCCGAGCGTGTACGCGAACACAGAGAGAATGCGGACACTGTGGAGCGTGGAAGGCAAAATGCGTAAAATCGGTCGCAGATATTCCAGCACGGCTGAATTACATTAAACAAGATGGGAGTCAGGTGGAATAGATTATAAGGTTTATTATAAGGGACGAAATTAGGGAACCCAGACAACGCTGCAGGAAAAGCTTACTGATGTGTGGTGCAAATATGGCCGTGATGATAACCCTGTACGTTGTAGGTTCATGGAAAATATATTTTGTATCTTCTACATATTTTTTTTATTCATTTGAAATGGAGTTTTATTGCAATCATCAAATAACAATTTCCATAACATTAAAGTCGGTCTCAGACAACATACGGAGCTGGATGTTTAACTCATGTGAAGGCATACCGAAAATACGTGTTCACTTCAAACCTTGCC